CGCGGAGTATTTGCAAGAGCCATGTTAGATCTGATATTCCGTTCGTTCAACGATGCATGGATACTGTCATGAAACCTAGAGTGCAACGCAACAGGCAACAGGGGACTGTTTTCAGCCAGCACACCATGGCTTAGACTCAGGGTGAGTGATGGGTTGGTGATTGCAGCAACGAGGTAGCGGCTTAATCCGTTGAGGTTCCGTTCATCCGAGCGAAAATGAGCAACTCAACTAGCGACAGGACCTGCTCCAGTAAACGGACTGGTTTTTTCACCAGACCAGGGAACATCACCGAGCTGGAGTGAGCGGTATGCAGAACGACACAATCGAAAACAAGGAATAAAGTTATGAACTTAAAACGGCAACTTTTTTGACCTGCATTTTTCGTTTGATGGATTAGTCTCTCACGTGCTACGAGGCAGACCGAAGTCCTGCATTCATACAACCCTGTCAGATACTTAAATGTACTCAGATATTTAAACGCACACTAGAAAACCAGCAACCGAGGTAGTTTTGAGGTGCAAGTGATGAACGCTGCACCGGCTCGATGTACAGACACGGTTCGAGCGTTGAATGCCAAGGAAAAAGACGGTGACGGAGCAATGAAAACGACTAACCTCCTTCGACGTCGTCTCCGCGTTCGTTGCTGGAGGTCAGGCGGTCGTTGAGGCTCAAGCGACGGCCGTCCGCAACGGAGCTGAAGGCCGACTTCCACCGGAACGAAATCCACGAGCGCCTTCTCGACGCTGACAGGTCGCTCAACCGCGCCATCAAGATATGTTTCAGGCTGAACGAAAAAAATATATTATTACAACTCGCATCGACAGTCGCCCAGAAACAACACGCGCAAACCATATCAGACGCATAACGAATTATAGGCAGAGACAAGGCACGCATAAGTTGGTGTTTATACGAACAAACTGCGTATAAGTTCTCTAATCGTTTAGTTGTTTAACTGAACTACGCATTGTCAGCTTCATCTGAGGGTAGCAATGCTTGAACTAACCTCGGTAGGTTTGGAGGTTAAGAAAACGAGGTTTTCCCTCGTAAGATAAACTGGTTCCTCATCAACCATTTACTGTAGTGAATGAGTTTCCCTGAGCCGAAACAGCAATCGTTGGCCAGGAGGTGAACATGCACCTTGGAGGAACAAGGTGGAAGCAAATCGACTTTTGGGAGGAATTGTTCTTCCCACATTGCAGTAACCGATGCCTCATAGTAACAGTGTTGAATTGCTGCGAATACCGCTGACATCACAACGCAAAGTCATTTGGCGCATGCAAATGCTCCAAGTGACGATCTCAAGAAATAAGGAGTAATGTCTGACCCGGACGACCAATCTCAGATGAAGTTACAGTAACTGCGAACGTAGAACAGGGACAGAGCCATTGCATACAGCGGGGACCAGATGTAATACGAAAGACAATTGAGAACCTGACAGCGCAGGTTCATACCGTAGCCAAAAAAGAGGACAGGGACTTCGTACGCCAAGTGTATGTCATTCATCGGTTAGTGTACATCAGACGGTTGTTCCACTTTGGCTGACTCTACCTCACTCGGCTTCAGTCATTGACTCATTGACTCTCCTGACCCTACGACCTGGAAACAAGCACCTCAAACAGAGTTCGATCGTTGAGTGATTCCTAATTGATGTGCAAAGGCTTTTTCTCAGCAAGAAAACGGTGCACACTGCTGCGGCTTTGTTCGCACCTCTTGAACCTCTGCATGGTATAGCGATCGATCTACCCATTCATTAATGCTGTATGTTTGCTGGTCTCTGAGGAACTATTAATTGTCAATCACCGAGGAGATTTAGGAGACTGTTAGCGTCGCCAGGAGCTTTGTAATTGGAAAAGAGACTTTATTTTAAATCAAGCCGTCACTGTGAATCGATATGCTTTAAACCATTGATTACAGTTACAATTAGTAAACGGTGTCTCACCAACGAAGTCACCCAAGGCTCCGCCGAGAGATGAAGACTTCAGTCGCTGTGAAGAAGCTCGAAACCGACTTAACCCCATTGCGGCTTGCCGAGTCTGTTTCGGAGGAAGAAAAGTTTCCAGGAAAGATTTCCTCGTCGAAACTCGCTCGTTCCTTGGAGGCAACGACAAGAAGACACGGCTGTGCCGAATGAACGAAAAACTAAGCCTCCTCCTCTTTCTCCTCCTCGTCGTCGTCGTCGTCGTCGTCGTCGTTGGCATGGCGGTCGGTGTCTCAGCCATCGAGCATGAAACATTAATTTTCGCTACTAGCACCGACTGACACCTTACGATTTATAATCCTGAGGGCGTTTTTATGTGCGGTGGTTTCCGTCCCTCAATTACGACAATTATCGACTGATGGCGGTGAGCTGCGCATCGCACAGCGTTCCACGGCCGAACCGTCGAGCAGCAAACTCAGCGACCGTTTCTTTATTGAACCGGCTGTCTTATGGTCAGCATCAACCTTCGGTCGGTACATGCATTAAGGTGTGCTGTGACAAAGCGCACAGCTGCGGCGGCGAACACCAATAATCGATGCGGCCGATCAGGTGTGCAACGCGAGACATTGGCCAAAGCATAGGCTTGACAACTCACCTCTCAACCAAACAACGCATCGCAGGTGATTGCGGCCAACCACAGGGTTCATTCGTTGCAAATTAACCGCATAACTTGTCCGACCAGGATTTGATAAATGGTCAGCTTGCTAGCCACCCTGATTCGTACAGCTCTACGTATGGAGCTAATCCATGAGGTGAATATGTTAAGGTTAATTAGAGTGACAAACGGAGGTTCGAAAACGAATTTGACCATAAATTGATTGGCACCGACATCGAATTTCCTCGTCTTCCTCGCAGACCAGAATTTCTAGTCATATTAACTGTCAATTACAGTCAGAAACATTGACCAACAAAATTCGGAACCTCGTTTTTAAATGACATCAATACATCGTCAGGGAAGCAACATGTATTAATCATGAAGGCGAGGGCTGTCCGAATCTCACCAGTTATTTACTTACGGTTATAACTGAAATTTATTCATGAAAACGGTCCGTCTGTCTTTATCCTTTCAACATATGATGATACCTGTTCGCTAAACGCGAACGATACTTTTGCCCTCCTACAACAAAGCGAAGACAAAAGAATTTCAGCTTTCTTAAAAATGACTGGCCGCGACTAATTGACTGATTGATTGATTAATTGATTGATTGATTGATTGATTGTCACGGATGACAAACCTTCGGTAGCGCAATTGCTTTTTAGGCGATTGATTGAAAGGATGGCAGTCAAATTCAACGACCGGTCCTATTCATAGCAACACTTGTCTTTTCTGCTCGAAACTTTTAAAGGGAGACAAAAACGTGATTGAACCCTTTGCGTTTATGTACACATGCAACTGCACTGCACCCTTGGGTGTTTTGCGAAGACGTTTGAGAACAGGACGCTTTAAAATTACTTAGAAAGCTGTAATCCATAGATGCCCATGTTTTATCCGTTTCTGATCCTCTGCTGTGTGCAACCCGTCTTTGGCTGTATCTTGACGGGCAGAGGGCTTCGCCAAAATAAGGAACATCATGGCACTGTAACGCATTTGATAACGAAGACGAAATCAATGCTTTTAGCTTATTAAATGTTGGTCTTCCACCCACTTTGAAAAGTTAGTCAAGATCGACTTTCAAAGCCATTCTGGAACCTTGCTTTTAAAAGTAATGCTGAAATGCTGATTTCTATTTCAATGTCATCGACCAGGAATGCATTATTTTAAAGATAGGGTCGACAGCAGCTCTGTGACAAGCATAGTGATTAGTCACATGTTTCTTTCCTCCCCTCCTCACAGTGGTACTCATTTATCAACCT